CCTGACCCTGCTTGGCTCTTCCCGAGCCCCTGCCTCGAGGAGCGAGTCGTGTGGACGGTGCGGTCTCCCGACTTGCTGCTCGACGTGCACGTGTTCGGTGATGGGTCGGGGAGGCACGGAAGTTTCTCTCGCTTACGGCGCTGCGGATGGGGACTCTGTTCGCTTGACGACAGCAAGCGAGTGGTTGCTCGCCTGCATGGCCCTCTGCCCTGTCTCATTCAATCTGTGCCAGCGGCTGAGCTTTTCAGTTTCTTGATGGCGCTGAGGTATATGGGAGCTCAGATGAAGTTTTATACGGATTGCAAGCCGCTCGTGGATGTCTGGCGCCAAGGCGTTGGAGCGGGCACCGCTGCGAGTGACCCGCTTGCCTTACTTTGGAGGGAGGTTTGGAGGCTTGTGTCTGACCGTGGGGGTGAGTCGGTGGAGGTTTCTCACGTCAAAGCGCATACTCCTGCCTCTGCCGTAGCAGAGGGACGGATTTCAGAATGGCAGCGTGTCGGCAATGCCCAGGCTGATCAGTCGGCTAAATGGGGTGCCGCCATGCATAGTGATTCCCTCCAGCTGCGATCTGCGCATGGCGCGTCGCGCAGCGCCATCCGCCTTGTAGCCCAGTTCTGTACCAGGCTGGTCGCTCGGATCGGCACCATCACGCCACGTGACGCCCAAGCGCAAATACTCGGCCGTGCCATAGGCACGATTGAGGGGGGACTTGGTCCCCCGAAGCCGCACTCGCGTTTCGACCCTGCAGTGACGGTGGTTGCGCACAGGTTCCGATGCATGGTGTGCCTTCGGTCAGCGAGGACACGCTCGGTGCTTCGCCAGCTTCGATGTGACGACAGGTCCAGCTCCCACGCACTTCACCGCGCGGGGCCTTTCCTGTTCTGCTCTCTGTGCGGGGCATTTTCGGAAAAGAAGAGCCAGGGTCTTTCGCAGGATTGCTTACCGATGAATCGTAGGCAGGGTGTCCTGGTGAGAGACTCGAGATACTACAGGCTGCGCAACCTCATGCGAGGCTGCCATCCTTTACGGGCCCGCGATTTTGTGGGCCCTCCGATTTTGCTGCGGAAGCGAAGGCTGCTGGAGTCGGCCGAACTGCCGCCTCTGCCTGCTCTTTCTCCTCCTGTCGGGACTGGGAGTGGGGGGGTGGGGGTGGGGTGGACGGGGCAGGAGTGCTCTCCGCCGCCCGCTTTCCAGGCCGATCTGGCCTTGTGGGACGGCCTCTCTGGCTTTCCCATTGCCAGCGTAGAGGAGGACGACGGCGACCCATCCCTAGGTGCGTGGGGTCGGGTCGAATGCGTCCCCTGCGCTGGCTAGCTGTTTTTCAAACGAAGGCTGGTTCGCTTGCGGTCAGTCTCTGTCAGTTAAAAAAACATACATACATACATAATACGTAGCACCCCGCAATTGCGGATAAGAGTGAGGGGTCGGGCGCGGGCGACGCGGGCGTCGAGCCGGCGGAGCTCGTGGCCCTCACCTTCCTTGTCGATGGCGCCCTCGTCCTCCTCCTGCTCCTGCTCCTGCTCCTGCTTCTCCTCCTCCTCCTCCTTCTTCTCCTCTTGCCGAATTGCAGCAGGCAGCTGGATTGTCAATTAACGTGTTTAGACACAGCCCCGCTGCAGGCGCCGATGTGCTGTTGTAGAATCAACGTGGGCCGGATCGGAGAAATGGCACGAGGGCGCTTTCCCAAACCAATGCTAGCAAACCCGCCGCAGGCGCCGATTTGCGTGCTCTGACAAGTTCAGCCCGGGGGGGATCGCTGGTGGGCCACCCATAACGAATGCAAAAACAGCCCGTCGCAGGCGCCGAATTTTTGGCTTGTTCAGTGAACGTAGTTGTGGTCGCGGGTAGGTCGCGGGCTCTCCACCTCCATGGAAGGAACTCAGAAACAGCACGCCGCAGGCGCCGAAACTTTGGATTTGTACACTGATCGCGGTTTAGGTCGCAGGTTCTCCACCTGGAACGAATGCAAAAGAAACTCGCCGCAGGCGCCGAACTTTTGGCTTGTTCAGTGAACGTAGTTTGGGTCGCGGGTGGGTCGCGGGCTCTCCACCTCCACTTGGAAGGAATTCAAAAACAGCCCGCCGCAGGCGCCGAACATTTTGCTTTGCACATTGAGCGCGGTTTGGATCGCGGGTGGGTCGCAGTTTCTCCACCTGGAACAAACGCAAAAGACCGAGAATTTTGGGTGGGTCGCGGGGTGGGTCGCGGGTGGGTCGCGGGTGGGTCGAGGTGGGTCGCGGGTGGGTGGCGGGTAGGTCGCGGGTGGTTCGCGGGGTGGGTCGCGGGTGGGTCGCAAGTGGGTCGCGGGTGGGTCGCGGGTGGGTCGCCGGGGCGATCTCGGGGTGGGTCGCGGGCGGGTGGCGGGGTGGGTCGCGGGTGGGTCGCGGGTGGGTCGCGGGTGGGTCGCGGGGTGGGTCGCGGGTGGGTCGCGGGGTGGGTCGCAGGTGGGTCGCGGGTGGGTCGCGGGGTGGGTCGCGGGTGGGTCGCGGGGCAGGTCGGGGGTGGGACAATGACAACAACAAACAATACATATCAAACAACAACAACAATAATCCGCATCGCGGAATTCCACTTCAGCCACGCACCCAGGGACAGTGAATGACCGTTCGGTTCAGCCCCCTCATTCTGATATTTATATTAATATATGTATATATTTATATAACATACATTGCAATGCAATTAAGCAGGGTAATATAGGACACACACATACTTATACATCATTTACAGTTACACTGTACCATGCCATAACACATCATGGCATGTCATATAATATGGAGTTTCATTATATCGTTGTGCATTGTACCATCTCACATCATGCAACATCGTAACGTGTTATATAAAAGTACCATATAATATACCGCGCACTGTTATAGTGTATGATGTATTACTAGATTGTATAAAACCGTACATCTGATCATTTCATATGTATACACTATGATGTCTACAACTACTACTACTACTACTACTACTACTATTACTACTACTACTACTACTACTACTACTACTACTACTACTACTACTACTACTACTACTACCACCTACTACTACTACTACTACTACTACTACTACTACTACTACTACTACTACTACTACTACTACTACTACTACTACTACAACTACTACTACTACTACTACTACTACTACTACTACTACTACTACTATTACTGCAATTCGATAGAGCATATGGTAACATATCATTGTGTGTCATAATATATGATAATATACAGTTGTATTTTAGTATACCAAAACGTATTCCGTACTGTTCCGTGGTTTTTGTTAGTGTTCTATATAATTATGTATGTTGTACAATTACATTGCACATTGCTTTATTCTAGCATATGATAACACGCCGTACCATATCACACCGTGTTATATTATATTGCATCGTAGTTCATTGTAGTGCATTGCGTGCCGTAAAATTGTTTGATATTATATGATCGAAGTTTGCATTGTGCTGTAGTGTAGCGCATACAGTTTATGACTTCACGTAGTCTTTCAACATATTAGAGTATACTTTTGGTATTGTATTATGAGTTGGTTCCATGCCACAGTGGACCATATTTTATTATAACGAATTATGATTCGTTATATTATAGTTCATGGTTGCCTACTCTTCAATCATGCATTGTATATACCTGTATGTGCATTGCACATGCGTATGTTTATTGTTTGGTGCTGTACATATACACATACATACATCTATATGTATATATATATGTATATGTATGTCTACCGATTAGTTCCAACCTTGCAAGTGTGGGGAGCGGCACCGAGGTTTTTTGAGGCGATCAAGGATCGAGTAGGCGATCGAGGTTCGAGGAGGGAATCGGGGGTCGAGGATGTTGAGGTCTTCGAGCTTTCGCGGAGCCTTTTCGGGGCCTTTTGTGGATCTATTGGGGCGCCCTCGTGGCCGCGGCTGGATCCGATTTCAATCTTGGCTCGCCCGCGCCGGGGGAAAGTTCAGAGGGCTGATTTTTGTTGACCCCCGTGCCCGAGAACCCTCTGAAGGTTGCGGAAGGCCGACTGTCCGAGGAGCGCGGAGGGTTTTCAGCCGTTTTCCGGGAGGGTACAACCCTGTGGTTGGGCGCGGAGCGGGTTGGGCCCGCCCTCTGCGTGAAACTCCTCCGCTCGGCGCGGGCGCCTGGCCTCCCCCGTGCCCCCCCCCCTCATGGACCAGATCTTTGCTGCTTGCGGCGGCTGCTTTCGGCGACTGGTCAGAACCCATTCCCCCCTAAGTGCTGTCGGGAGTTGTAGAAGCAGATCGATGAAACAGGAGCCCAGGCCCAGACCTCCCCCGACCCTTCGGCCACATGTCGACACCCAGGATAAGAAGACGATTGCCTTTCCCGATTTCGGAGAAAGAGGCGGACGGGGCTAAGACGAGGATGAATCCGTCCCAGAGCTTTCTGGCACGCTCTCACAGCTTTCTGGAGCGCTCTGAAGATGGCCGCGGCGCCCGAGACGCCCTCCGGAGTCGCCGGATCTCAGACATTCTCGGTTTATCCTCACCTGATGTTGTCCTCGTCCTGGCCTCGTGGTAAACCCTCTCTCCCGACCCCGGAGAAAGAGTCATGTCGGTGCCGATCTTGCTCATGGTCCATGTCGGCCGTCGCCGATTCGCAAAGCGGATCCACACAATGGCGCTGCCCAAGATCGATCGTGATCAAGATCGACATGATGTTTCCGCTTGCAGTCTCGGTCATGGTTTCCGTATTCTCCCCTTCACGAGACCCTTTCTCCCGACCTTCCATGAACCCCTCTCCAGATCTCAGAGATTCTTGATTTATCCGAACCCGATGTTGTCCTCGTTCTGGCTTTGTCTTAAACCAAGGACAAAACCACGACGAGGGGCCTGGACTCCGTCTTGCTGTGCCATGTTCCGAGCTGGATTGATCGGTGTGGGTTCTGGGGCTCAAAATTTGGCAAACATGCCCGGATCGAAGACATGGGGACGCCAGGGTGTCGGGGCCTCCCGACCCCGACAGAGCCTGCGGTCGCAGGCTACCGCCGCCCGCCCAGCCCGGGTTTCAGCTGCTGCAGCGCGGCGGCGGCGGCTACCAGGGGTCCTACGCGGCGCCTCAGCCGGCCGAGGGAGGGCAGCCTCAGGACCTGGGGGGGGGCCCAAAAGTCAGGGTGGGGGAGCGGGCTCGTCGTCGTCTTCGTCGTCGTCGTCGTCGTCGTCATCGTCATCGTCATCGTCATCGAGCGACACGGCTGGTAAGAATCGATCGTCGTTGTCGTTGTCGTCGTCGTCGTCGCCGATCGAGGCTCGACGATCCAGGCGCGAGGCTCGAGCATCGAGGGTTGGGGACGGCGGCCCTGAACGCTCCAGAGGCCCCGAGGGACCTCCACAGGCCCTCCAGGAGCCCTGGAGACGGCGACCTCTGGAGATCTTTGCCTTTGTTGTCGTCGCCTTCGTTGTCGTCGCCTTCGTTGTCGTCGCCGCGGCTGCCGCCGTCGCAGAGGAGGAGAAAGTTCCCTCGTTGTCGCCTTTGTGGGCCTCCCGGGAGGCCCTCGCCGCCACCGCTGGGTTCGCCTCGAAGCTCTGGTCAAAGCGCAACCTGGGAGAGGCCCCTGGAGTAGGGGGGGGGATGGGCTCAGTGGGATGGTGGTGCGTCGACCTCCAATCTTCGAGGCGGGGATTTCTACGTGCCCACCGCTTGGAGGATATGTTTTCGTGAACCTCCACAGGCTGTGGGTATGGTTATATTTTGGTCCCCAGGGGCGTATAAACACTTATATATGTGTATAAGTGTATGTATGTATGTATGTATGTATGTATGTATGTATGTATGTATGCATGTATGCATGTATGCATGTATGCATGTATGCATGTATGCATGTATGCATGTATGCATGTATGCATGTATGCATGTATGCATGTATGTATGCATGTATGCATGTATGCATGTATGCATGTATGCATGTATGCATGTATGCATGTATGCATGCATGCATGCATGCATGTATGCATGTATGCATATGTATGCATGCATGTATGTATGATGTATGTATGTATGTATGCATGCATGCATGCATGCATGCATGCATGCATGCATGCATGTATGCATGCATATGCATGCATGCATGCATGCATATGCATGTATGCATGTATGCATGTATGCATGTATGTATGTATGTATGTATGTATGTATGTATGTATGTATGTATGTATGTATGTATGTATGTATGTATGTATGTATGTATGTATGTATGTATGTTTATACATATATATACATATGCACATGCGCCGCCCGCTGGGTGTCCAGAACGTCGGTTCCAGGAAGGGGGCCCATCGCCGACCAATCGGCTATTTTCATCGCCAATTCCAGGTCATTGCTCCCCCCCCCACGAGCTGGTCCCCCTAGCCTTGCCCCTTAGGGCGGCCAAGCCCAGACGTCCAGCGTCTGGACCAGACTCGCGGCGACCCGGTTTTCCGTGCTTCTGGCTTCCAGCGGCGCCCGCCGGGCTCTCCGGGGGCCGTCAGGGAACGGTTCGGGGGACCGACAGCTGGGCCCCAGGCAAAAGACTGGGAGGGCCCCGTGTTGAACAAAATCGATAGGGGCTTCTATGCGAACCCTACCCCCCTACCCCCCACGATTTCTGAGGGGGAGGGTGGGGTTCCCTTCGCTCGGGAGCTCCCGAACAAGGTGAACCCCACCCTCCACCTCAGAACTCGGGGGGGGGGTAGGGGTAGGGTTCGCATGTGGCCCCCTGATCGAGGCCCAGGATGTCTGCGACAGTGTTCCTGGCCCACGGTGCCCCCAGCTTTCCACGCCACTTCAAGGGTCTCTGGGGCCCTGCAGGGCCTCGTGAGGCAGCGTGAGGGGTGCTCTGGAGGCCATCCGGATCTCCCTGGAAATCCTGGGGTCTGGGGGCACCCACGGGCCAGGGGCACCTCTGGCAACACCCGGAGGAGTTCCAGCCGCAGGCGGCGGTCATGCGCGGGCCGCAGCAGCAGCAGCAGCAAGTGCAAGGCGCTCGCTCCTGGCGCTTGGGGCGCGTCCGAGGGTCGAGGTCCGAGGCCTGGCACGCTTGCAGCCGTTTGTGGTCCTCTTTGGGCCTCCCCGTGGCGGTCCCCCTCGTGAGACTTCGCCTCGCCTGCGTCGGCCTTGTCGACGCGGTCGTCGGCGTCGCTCTGCTCGCGTCGTCGTCGTCGTCGTCGTCGTCGTCGTCGTCGTCGTCGTCGTCGTCGTCGTCGTCCGTCGTCGTCGTCGTCCGTCGTCGTCGTCGTCGTCGTCGTCGTCGTCGTCGTCGTCGTCGTCGTAGTCCGTCGTCGTCGTCGTCGTCGTCGTCGTCGTCGTCGTCGTCGCTCTGCCGCTGTCAGTGGCCCATGGTTGCACGCAGGCGGTCGTGAGAGCTGGCCTCGGCAGGCCGGGGTGCAGGGTGCCCAGAGCGTCCAAGAGGGGGTTTTGCGTCGCGTCGACGCGGCGGCAACCCCTGCGCGGGCGTTCAAGGCTGAACGCCGCCAGCGTCCAATAATTAGCAAACATGCAAACATGGAATTATCAATCTGGCGATCGAGAAGGCCCCGATCCGTCCATGCTGAACTATCCACGCGGTGTCAGAAGCCGACGCTGGGGTCGTCCCGACCCGAACCTGCCGTAGGGTTGCGTGGATCTCATGCCCTGGTCCATGATTTCTCCCTGTTTTCATGGCCACCTCTTCTTCTCTCTTGTGACGTTCCCTCCTCCGCCCATCGTCCGCACACATGCCTTAGGCCATCATGCGCTAGCCCACCTGTTCCTGGCCCCCCTTTTCGGCGCAACGGACGGTTTAAGCAGCCTGCTGCGACCTCTGGAGGCGCTGCGAGGGAGTCTCCTCCTCTTCCTCCTCATCCGTGTCTGCCTCTTCCGCCTCTGCCGCCTCCTCCTCTCCTTCCTCCTCCTCCCCCTCCTCCTCCGCTCGGCTGGGACACCAGGGGCCCTGACGACTGGATCGACAGGCAAGGGGACCACTGACAGTTCCCAGAGGGCGAGGAGGCAGGAGACCCACACGACATCGTGGAGGCGCTGCTGGAGGACGCGCAGCTGTTGCTGTGGGAGGCTGCGGCGAAACACCACAACGGCAGATGGGCCGAGCAGGGCATCGACACGCGGGATGCCAAACGGCACGTGGAGGCTGTCAGGAAGAAGGGCGAGCAGCAGTTGTACGGAGGGCTCTTGGCCGCAGCGTGCGCAGGCACATGGCCGAAAGCAAGGAGGTGCGGGGAGTTCGGCGAGACGGACTGCATGTGCGAGTGCGGCGTGGAGTAGGATGGCCTGCACCGCATCTGGGGCGACTGGGATGAGACAGGAGGAGGCCAACCTTGCAAGGACGCAGGGGCTGGAGGAGCGCGCGAGGAGGGCGGCGAGCAGCGCGCCCATCTTCTGGCTGAAGGGGCTCACGCCCAAGGCTTGGACGGTGCCGCCGCCGTGCGACACGCAGAAGCAGGCGTCGCTGGTGGGTGAGTGCCTGCTGCGCGGGAGGCTGCGAGGGGTACAGGGAGAGCCCATCACGTTCTGCGGCGACGGCTCAGGAATTCGAGCACAGCGCGGATGGTTGATACAGGGGGTGCGGCTGGGGATGGGCAGTGCTGGACACGACGAACCATGCACAGGTCTTCCCCATCCGCGCGGCCAGGTTTGGGCCGCTGCCTGGCAGCAGGTGGACCAACAACAAGAGCGAGCCTGGAGTCCACGGAGGGCCCGATAGTGTATTGGACCGATAGTGAGATCACCTTCGAAGGCTGGAGTGATCGCAGTGAGGAGGGAGACCGCAGGACCAGCGACAACGGCGACCTCTGGCGCAGGGTGAGGAAAGCACTGCTGGACAGGCCAGGCACCAGGGAGGACATCACGATGCGCCACATGAACAGCCACGTGGGCGAGCAGGAGGCACCGGAGAAGGGGATCCCAAGGGTCGCGCGGGAAGGCGACCGCGAGGCCGACAGGTTGGCCGACGCGGGGGCGAGACAGCACGCGATCAGCGAGGTCGAGATGGGCTGCTACGAGTGGGCGCGGGCTACGGCATACCTCGTCAGAGCGCGCATCGCGGAGTGCGCCAAGGACCTGATCAGTAGGGGGCCAGGCGAGGGCAGGGGGCCCAGGAGCGCCAGGCAGGCAGCGACGAAGGCAATGAGGGCGAGAAGGACGCTGCAGAGGCACTACCTGAGCTGCGACGCCGAGCTGAGGCCGAAGACGACGCGCGTCTTGCGGAGGTTGAGGCGAGGGGGGGGGTGGCGTTGCATCTGCTGCAGACAGACGGCGACGAGGCACGCGGCGCTCAGCGGACTTCAGGAGTGTTTCGCGACGCAGTGCCCAGGGCCGCCGCCAGCAGAAGCAAGGTGCGTCAGCTTCTACGGCGTGGAGTCGCACGAGACCCACGCGCTGAGGTGGCTGGATTTCGAGAGTAGATGGTATTGTAAGAAGTGCGGAAGCTTGGCCACCGAGGTGGTATCGGCGAAGCTCCGGGCGTCTTGCCGAGGGCAGCCGAGCTGCGACCCCTTGAAGTACCAGCCCGCCGCCTGGGAGAGGAAGGCTGCAGAAGAGGATTGGAGGAGGACAGCGCGGCCACCAGAGGAAAGAGCAGCAGGAGCTAGCGAAGAGGCGCCCCAGGGGCGGGGCGAGGAGCTGCTTGAGGAGGGTGAGGGCGTAGCCGGAAGAGGCGACGGCGGTGGCGTAGAGGTTAGCCAGGGGAACTGCCATCGCAGTGTACGCCTGTCGAAGCTGAGCCTGAGCAGAGGCGGGCCTGGCGCCGCTGCGGCGGCGGGAGAGGTGATCGGGGACGCCGGCGGGGATCGGCCGGCGAAGGCGGATGGGGGGGCCGGGGGAGGCGACGGCCGTGGCGCAGTGGATAGTCAGGGGGATTGCCATCGCAGTGCCCGCGTGTGGGGGCCGAGTCCGAGCAGAGCTGGGCCCGGGGATCTTCATGGGGGGGGGGGGGGGGGGCGCGGCCAGGGGCGCGAGGAGAGAGCCAGAGGCTGGCGGGCAAGGTGCTGGTCGCGGAAACGAGGGGGCGGCCGGCGAAGCCGGGGAAAGGGCACCAGAGGGCGCGCGAGGAGAGGGTTCCCGAGAGCAGCAGGTCTCAGGAGAAGCCGCTGAGGATAGCGAGCGGGGCGCAAGGGGCGCGGGGGGGGGGGGGGGCGTGCGAAGAGACGCCCCGCGGCAAGCGTGCGCGCGCAGGACTTGGATGCTGGGGAGCCAGCGCCCCCCGAGACCGCCGACAGCAGCGGGTGTCGGGCAGGGGCGCCGCCCGTAGCTCAGGAGGGGCTCCAGGAGGCGCGCCAGAGCGGGCCTGGAGTGCAGGCGGGCTCTGAGCCGCGGCCTGCGCGGCGGCGCCCCGCGGGCCCCGAGGGCGAAGGGGGGGGGGGGCGAGCGGGAGAGGGCTGCCGCGAGCAGCCAGAAGCAGGGGGGTCCGCCGAAGCCAGTCGCAGGGCGCATAAGGGGCGCCGCCCAAAGCTCAGGACGGGTCTCCAGGAGGCACGCCAGAGCGGCCCTGGAACGCAGGCGGGCTCTGAGCCGCGGCCTGCGCGGCGGCGCCCCGAGGGCCCTGGGGGCGAGGGGGCAGAGGGTTCAGCGGGCGAGCCAGAAAGGGCTGCGCCAGCAGCAGCAGGACGCATAGGGGCGCCGCAAAATCTCAGGGGGGGATCCAGGAAGCGCGCCAGAGCGGCCCTGGAACGCAGGCGGGTTCTGAGCCGCGGCATGCGCGGCGGCGCTCCAGGGGCCCTGGGGGCGAGGGGGCCGAGGGTGCAGCGGGCGGCCGGGGGGGGGCTGCCGAGCGCGGCCGAAGGCAGGAGAGCCCGCCAAGGCCAACGGGCAGGACGCAAGGGGCGAGAAAGGGGGGCGCGAGGCGAGGCATAGGACAGCAATCCATCACGCACAGGACCAGTCATTGGGGAACCAACGCCCCCCCGAGTCCGCCGAGGGCTTCAGGAGGCAGAAGGGCGCCGCCGCCGCCCAATGCTCAGGAGGGGCTCCAGGAGGCACGCCAGCGCGGGCCCGGAGTGCAGGCAAGTTCAGAGCCGTGGCCTGCGCGGCGGTGCCCAGGGGAGGCGGCCGCTTGGCTCCTGCAGGCTGCCAGGACGGCGCCCAGAAGCAAAGCCGCGGAGGAGCCGCAGGCGCCGGGCCCAGGCTGCCAGACGGCG